CCCCCCCCCCCCCCCCCCCCCCCCCGCCCAGACTGAGTCCCACAGTCAGCAGGCCTGGAGGGACTTCAATCCTCACCTGGTTGTAGTTCCCTCTGTTGGGCATCCCACCTCTGCTGTAGTTGCCTCTGTTGGAGTAGCCGCCTCGGCTGGGGAACACAGGGCCGCGAGGGTACGGGTAGCCAATGCCGCCGCTGCCCCCGCCGCCGCCACCTCTCTGGGGCATGTTGCCCCTCCGGTTATAGCCGCCGCGGTTCCCAGGAGCTACAAAGAGAACGTTAGTTTAACAGCGTGTTCATGGGACCACAGGTTCCTCCAGACCAGTCCTTTATCGGAGGAAAAAAGTCACTTTCGAAGACAAGCACAAGGTTTAATTTAACCACTCATATAACCTAGGTGTGTTTATCAAGTCACAACATTTTCAACCAGTTCCTAGGGCAGCAAGATCAACCCGAGTCGAACGTCCTAGGTCAAACTCCGCTAAACCACACGCAGACCCCAAACGATGAGACTCTCATCACTCGTTTCCACCCCGAAGCCAACAAGGCCCACACTCCAAGCCAACTTGCCTCCTCCTCGGAAGTTGCCACCGCGCATGTTGAAGCCGCCACGGCCTCTGTGGCCGCCGCCTCTGTTGAACTGATTCTTGCCACTCTTATTTTTATTGCTCTTCTTCGAGCCAGTATTCTGTTTCTTTTCTGGCGGAAGCGCCTTTTTGCTTTCTTCCTTATATTGCTCCAGAAGTTTTTGGGCTTCCTCCTTCTGCAGTTCAACATAGGTTATTTCATCAAAGCACTCAGCTACCTCGGGCAGCGTGAAGTTTCCTACAAGGAATAAGGTCAGGTTAGCTTAAAATCCCAAGACTCCACAACCCTGAAGCCTAAACCCAAGTGGCTGTCGTTCTCTGAAACCACACTATGCTGTCTACTCCTGGTTTACTAACATGTTTTCCTAGAAACAGAAATAAACACATTCATTTATATAGAGCACATGTGACTCTGTCACACAGTATTGCTGGCAGATGATATTCATTCAAGTTCACAGACCTAAATCAAGTAAGATTTAACACAGTAATAAAGTTCCATGCCTTTCATTTTGAGGACTGCGTGTTCTGGTAGGTCTTTTCCCTCAACTTCTGCTTTCTTTTGTGTTCTTTGCTTGTAGTCTTCATCTTTCGGGCAAACTACAACAGCTTTTCGTTGGAAGCCTGCAAACAGGCACATTTTTCTCCTCTGGGCAGCAGCAGACACGTTTGTCTTGAAAACAAAGTTTATAAACCCAAATATTAGCTCCACACCAAACCCAACAATCCATTCCTTTTTCAACCTCCAAGCTCCAGCTTACCTGATCCAGAATGAAATTTCGCTTCTTACGGGCAGCAATCTCAATAAACTTTCCAAGACACTGGGGAGCTCTCTGCAACAGCGTGTTCAGTTTTCCAGTATCAGCCATCTGCTTCTTAAACCCTGCCACCTGTTTTAAAGTTAAAAAGGTCCTTTGAACTTGTAAGTGAAGCCTATTTTTTCTACTATCAGCTTAGATCTATGTGGAAACCAGACATTTGCTAATTTAAACACTACCTTTCCTCATTATCATTATGAAAAGGGTCACTTTACCATGTAATAAGATCCTCTGCTGTTCACTTCTTCTTTAGCTACTGAACGTTGATAGTTCAAAAAATCTTATAGAAAAAATAAAACCTAGCCACCAGGAGGCACTTTACCTTACACATAAAGGTAGTTTACCTTACGTCCTTCTACTTTAAGTACCCAATTTAACTTTGACAAACTCCTATCTCTAAAACACTAACAAAATGCATAAAGACAACTGCCAAAAGAATACTTCTGCTCTTTTTAAAATGCTGAGATCACACCCTAAATATGTTACTTACCATCATTTTATCCATTATGGTGTTTGTTCCAAGAATGTTGTATTTACCAGGATTCTCTGCTGCGTGTTTAGTAACCCAGGTGGTTTTCCCAGCTCCTGGCAAACCAATCATCATAACAACCTATAACGGAAAGGAATGGTATTTCACTATCACTAGAGACACCTAAGAACTCCTTACCCGTTTTTAAATGCACAAGAACCCAGTTTAGATCATATATATAAATTTTCATTGCCCTAAAAACAAAGGAATTTTTGGAAACTCAACACTCTACATAAAAGAACACAGCTAACTAAGAGAAAAACCACTGGCTGATAGCAATGGGCCTAGCAGAATGAAACAAAGCAATCATACAGATCTTCCAAATGTCATTTTTGCCAAACAAAAGTAATCTTCAAATGCCTAAAAAAAAAAACCATTTACCTCACAATCTTTCTTCTCTTCAGGCCCCTTTGGTCCTCTAACTCGATCCTCTAAGGGGACATTCTGGATAAAAGTATAATCTTCCGGTATCGGAAAATATGGCTTTTCCTTCTGACCAAAATTAAATTCAACTGCACAGTTGTGGCAGAGAACATGCGGAAAGAGTGGCCTTCCAGCAAGAATTTCCTTACTGATTTTGAAGGCAATGCCAAGATCTTGCCCATTCTTTGCATAGGAGAGTTCTACTTCATCACTTTCAAAGTTCTGTTGAATCAGAAAAAAATTAACTGTTTTAATCTGCGTCCTATAAACTTTTTCTAAAAAAAACTTCTAAACTTCAAAATTTAAATGAGGAAGCTTATCCTATGGAAAGCGTATTTAGGTTAAACGTTAAGGAGCTTTATAACAGTTATAAAGAATGAAACACATGTATCTAGAGGCAAAAACAATGCCACCTTAACAGACTAGATTTTCAGGTCAACTTCATGTTAAGTAGTTTTCAGTCAAGATGGTTAATATTGAAGGCTAACACTGATACACCTTTAAAAAAAATTCCTAGCTGGGGGCGCCTGGGTAGCTCAGTCGGTTCCGCATCTGCCTTTGGCTCAGGTCACAATCCCAGGGTCCTGGGATCAAAGTCTTGTATCGGCCCCCTGGCTCAGCAGGGAGCCTGCTTCTCCCCTCTCCCTCTGCCTGCCTATCTGCCTACTTGTGATCACTGGCTCTGTCAAATAAATAAAATCTTAAAAAAAAAAAAAAAATCCTAACTAATAATTTCACTTATACACAGAAATTTAGCCGACTTACTGCAAAACATGTAATCACATCATTTTCATCAAATTTCTCTCCATAATCTTCAGTCTCACAGTTGCATGTTTTTATTCCTTTAAGAGAATACCCATAAGAAAATTCTTCTTCACCTAAGAAAATAATTAACTTTCATGAAATCGATTGTTTGAAACAGTCCAATGACCCACATATTTTAACATTCAAGATGGAGTGAATCAAGAGAAATGAGCATATAATTTAACATTCTTCCACTTACACTTTATCTAGATGAAAAAAATTAATGAGCCAGGCGGGTTATGTAACTATTTGAAAAACTTCATTACCATGGGATAGTGACTTTTAACCCACTGATCATAAAACAAGTAATCGTAAAGGAAAAAAACCTGAAAATCAGCTACCTACTACAAGCTACTAGTATCGTTCATGTCTAAAATACTAACAAAATGGATTAAAAACAGGCAGAAGGTTTAGAATGCCTTGGGAGTCTAACTACTAAATCAGACCCTAAACACACATCAGCACATACTACTCAAATGGGAACTTTACCAAGCAACATTCCACTTGTGGTTAGTGACCAGCCAATCCGAACTTCATGTATGTCAATGTCTTTTGTATATAAATGCCTTACTGGGATCTTCTCTGTAACCTGAAATCAAATCATAAATTATTACAAGAAAGATAAACCTTTCATCTGGGTAGTGGGCTAATTCTTCTCTAGTTACTAATACAAAGACACCCAATTCTACCCCACCATCTATTCCCTACATTTACAAGAACTTTAAAAACTGACAGAGGAGTTTGGAACCTGGAACTAAAAAAGTTCAAGTCAAGTCCTTGGTTGACTCACATTTAAAAGAACAGCTAATGTTTTAAAAATTACAGATTCTTGACTCAAATCCAATTAAAATATACATTCAACATGTTTTACTCTGGAACAAAACTTGAAGCCTAACCAAACTATTTTTTAAACCCTTCGTGAGCCTTTCAAGTGCCTAATAAAAAAGGAGCACCCCAAATAAAAACAGGCTGACTCTACAACACAAATTTCTGATGTTAACAGATACGGTTAACTGTTATAAAACAGGTTTTCCAAGCCCCTCTTCTAATCCACAGAAGCTTCAAAGATAAATTCCACTGACATCTTTGTCAGGCAAATGGAAACTCACAAAGGTTCTTAAAAAAAAAAAAGAATCACAAAACTGCATTTACCTTCATCTCAAAACAGACTTTGCCTTTTGACACACCATAAGATGCCCTTCCTCCAGCCCAAAGAAAAGCAAAACTCTCCATAGTGAGGGAAGAAGCACTGAGGCGGTCTCTTGATATTTTAAAATGTAGATCACAATTATCTGCAATTATATCAAATACCATATTATTTCTTTTGACATCCAATGTAAATACATCTGCTACATAGACAAAACCTGGTTATTACATTCTTGCATAGTTCTAAAGCTGCATGGAACACACCGCTTCTACAGATCATGCTGCTGTTCTGATCTTCACTTTATTAAGCCCCACTCCCACCAAGTCACTCTCACCAAATTATGAACCGAAGAGTAAACTGCCTACAAAACCAAAAACATCAAGGTTTAATGTGTATTTTAAGTATATAAAATAATCAAGACAATGTGACAGGGATACATACCTGCTCTGCTCTTTACCTTGATTTAGAGGCAAGCAGTAGAGGATAGCAGGAAATCAAAGTGAAGCATGCCAGAACCAGGTAGAATTTACCAGTGCCACAAAAAAAACTGAAGGGAGGCCATGACCACATATTTTAAAATACAGGAGTATGAGCTGTTGATCCTGCACTTTGTAATTTTACAGGAGCTCTAGATCCTAAATTCTTTCTCAAACTTGTGAGGAAGGCAGCCTCAACCTAGCAAAGTGCAAACCTGGTTGTCTAACACTGTTAGTATTACAGTATTTTAAGTCCCTTTTCCCCAGGCTTGCCAGTTGGTCAGTAACAATGGAGGATTATCCACTCCCCGGATTACCCAAATCCGAAAGGTCTTTAACCTAGCTGCCTTTGGGTCAGTGGCTCATTAGCATGCACCCTCTTTGTGTTCTCACCTCAAATTAAAAAGCTGTTTTCTTACATTTTTATTGATGAAAGAAAATTAGATTTACAGTTTGGAATTCTCCTTAAATGAGGCTTTACTCTCAAAATTCCTATCACTGGTAGAATTTTCGATTCAACAACTGTGTTTGAACCCAATATAGATAGCAATACATGAGTTGACGTTCCTAGGTAATCAGCTAAAAGCCCATCTACTTTGGATAAGTGTTAACTTCTGGAATCATTATTTCACTACCTTGCCAATTCCGACTTAGTTTGTATTTAAACAACCGAACTATTTAAAATAAAATTCTCAAGTTAACTATTTTTCCACGTGCAGTTTTTTTCTTTTAAAAGACTCCCTTAGCTCAACTACCTGTAAAGGATATTTAATAAGAAATAAAAGTTAACATTTACAGTCTCACAAACCTAATTACAAGTAATTTGTATCCAAAAACGTAGGAATCTAAACTTTTAACTCCCTAGATCTATGGCTGGTTCACACCTTACCACCCTACTTTTCAAGCAATTATTTCTACACTTTGTTCTATTTATCAAAGTGAAAAAACTGTGCATTCTGATCAAATACTAAATTAACAAAATGTTTTTATACAAAACCACACATCTGACAGCCAAGGCCCATTTAGAGGTTTACAACACTTCCTCATACTCAATTGCAACCCAACTGGGTAAAGTAGCAGTGTTTACAGCGCTGCCATTGATACCATTCGCTGCTGAAGAAAGCTAGTAGCCCAGTGATAGCCCACTGCTGCTGCCCCAGGTCTTTGGAAGAAATCAACTTATGTTAAAGCAGCAGCTACTGAACTGGAATTGAGAACAAAAGAGCAGTTATTGAAAAAGTAATATTACAATCTTTTAGAATAGGGAATATACTTGTGTGCTAATGGGAAAAGTCATTAATACATATTAACTAGCCCAAATAGCTCACTTAATTCTATCAAAAAAATGAAATTACTTTATTGTAGGAGCCTATAAGGACAAATTACAGGTAATCTTACAAGTTTCCCTTAGCTGACTAAACCCAAAATTGGCATTAATTTTACATTTTCTACAAATGCGAACTTTCTAGTCATAAAAAATACCACCAAACTGCTGGAGCCTGTAAAATTATCAATCCGACACAACGGATGCTATACTAAACACTTAAGCTACCAGAATCTGAATTCAACTCATCGTCTCCCTGCTTTTACGAGAAACAGTTTACGCTAAGTTTTCTGCATTTAAGTTCAGCACACTGCGTTAAGTTCTCTAACATTTTGGAACCAAAATCGCCACATTTAGTAACTGGGGGAGGAAAGGGAAGAAACAGCTTCACTTACAAGTATCAAGACAAACCACTGTGTCATCGAAGTGCTCATCTTCTTCTTCAACAGGTGGCTGAGGAGATTTGGCTCTGAAAGACAGAATTGTCTCCTGATTCAGCTTTTCCTACCCAGGAAAGAACGGGGACGGGTAAAACTAGATCGGCATCCTCTACCTGCTATACTTGTTCTCTTCAATGTACTCAAAATATCCACGGCCATGATCTTCTCGAGGTCTTTTCACCCCTCTCTTTTTATCTCCGCCTTTCTGCTCTGTTTTGCCGTCTCCTATAACACACAACACCCCTAACATAAGGGGCCAAGCCGCGACCCAACGGGAGGGGGAATCCCCCTCCTGTTTGTGGACGCAAAAAGCCCGACTCTCCCGTTCTTTTTTGTAAGCGTTTTCAATCGACGAATCCAACGCGAATTCAAAGAACAATCAACTTGGAACCGGCCTGGAGTTAGTGACGCACTCCAAAGACATTCCTAATTTTGCCAGCCTACTCGAAGGTTCGAGAAAGCTCCTGGAGACCAGCGCGGCCCAGGCCCCGAGCCCACGTGTATCCCGAAGAGAGTTCAGGAAGGGGGGAGGGGCCGGGCCGGCCCGCGCGCCCTCCCCGCCCCTCCCCCACCCCGGCCCGCGTTCCCCGCGGCCGCATTGTACTGATCTTCCGCCCCCCTCTCCCCGCCCGGCCCCTCCCGCCGGAAGTGACGTCACGCCGAGCCCCTGGGCTCCTTGCACAATACCGCGGCCCAGCGCCGCCAAAGCGCGCCCGCCCCGGGCCCGAGGGCCTCTCCCCTCCCCCCGAGACATGTGCCCGCACCGCGCGCACGCAGCGCGGCGGCGCCACCGCGAGCCGACGGGGCTCCCGCCCGCCGCCCGCCCGCGGCTCCTCCCCCTCCAGCGGCAGCTGCAGCTCCCCCCCGGCTCTCCAGCCACATAATGGAGGCGCCGCCGCCACCGTCGCACACGCCGAGCCCGAGGCCGCCGAGGCCTCAGAGGGCGGGCGGGATTCCCCCGCGCCCCTCCCCCCTCCCGTGCCTCCCCCGCGGCGGCCCCCGCCCGGGGCTCCCTCCCCCCGGCGGGGCTCCGGCAGGCCTGGGGCACGGTCCCCACCCCGCGCGGGCCTCCCGCCGCGCGCAACGTACAACGCAGCACTCACCCGCCGCCGGAGCCCCGGGGCGACCGCCGCCTCCGCCGCCTTCCGCCTTCTTCTTACCTCCCGCCTGCTGCTGGCCCTGCCTCGCCCCGGGCGGCGCCACCGTCACCGCGAACAGCGAGGTGGGGCCGCTGCTCTTCCCCGCGGCCTCCTTGGCGGCCCCGCGCTGCTGTGGGGGCTGTTGCTGCGGCGTCGCCGGCGGTTGAGGCTGCTGCTCCCCGTGCCCGTTCTCGTCGCCCGCGCCTTCCTCCTCGTCACCGAGCTCATCCTCCCCTTCCTGGAAGCCCTGATCGTCGCCGTTCTCGTCTTCCGAGGCGGCCTCCTCCTCCTCCATCGGGCCCGCGTCGGCCGCCCCCGCGGCCCCGTTCTCCTCCCCTAGCTCCATCTGGTCGCCATCCAGGGCGGCGATCCCTTCCTCCTCCTCTTCCTCCTCTTCCTCTTCCTCGTCGCCGCCGGCCGCGGCCTCCTGCTCGAGGCCTGCTCCCGAGCGCCCGGCGGAATCCCCGCCCAGGTCTAGGCTGCCGTTCCCGGGCTCCATGGCGGGGCGGCCCCCGGCCTCCTCGTCGTCCAGCGCGGCCTGGAGTCGCTCCATGAGCTCGGCCTTGAGGCCCTTGTCGGAAAGGCGCCGCTTCTTGAGCTCCTCTTTCAGCTCCGAGACCTTCAGCTTTTTTACATTAACAGGCGAGGAACTCATGGTGAGGGCCCCGATTCACCGCTAGGCGCTGGCTCAAACTCGGCTCCGCTCACTCGGCCACTGGTGGCGGCTGCTGCGGCTGCTCCTCGGCCCGGGCGGCGGCTGCGGCTGCGGCTGGAGGTGGGTTCGTGCTGCAGAGCGGACCCGCCTGGTGTCGAACGGCGCCAATTCCTTTCACCGAGTTCGCGAGGGAGACGCGGAGACTCGCCTGGCGCGAGCGAGCACGCAACGTCCTCTCGCAGGGGCGGCGCCGCGCACGTAATATAGCCGCCCCGCCCCCTGCCCTGACGGGAGCGCTGCGCAGGAGGAAAGCCGGAGCGCGCCCGCGCCCCGCCCCGCCCATTACCGTACTTCCCTCCCCGCCCCCACGCCGAACCCGCCGAGAGCGCGGCGCAGGCCGCGCAGTGCGCTTCCAATTGGGACCGAGCAAATGGAGGAGAAGGAAACCGCCTTTCAGTTAAACCGATCCACTGCAGCCTCTGTTGGTTTTCCCAGTTCTCTGGTGGCAGCACTCGGCTTGCTCTTTGCCTCTCCATCCTGGAGGCCGGATTCACCCAGGGGCGTGCAGGCCTCGACTTAGCATGTTCCACTCGAGCCCTCCACCTTTTCTTCCATCTTAGATTTGCCTTCTTATCTCTCTCTCCAGCTATTTGTTTAAAACTCCTTGAAATCTTATTTCCGTGTTGATTTGTGCGGCACAAATTGGCAGTTACTGTACGCGAGGGGGTTTCTTCCACTTCATATTTGGTTTAATTTTCCCAAGTCCTGCCTTGCGCACTGGATTTTAAGTTCGGAAAGGGCGAAGGCAGAGCATCTCTTTTGTCTCTTCCCCGACCCCTGATGCAGGGCTGGCTTTGGGAGCGTGATCCTCTCCACTCCATGCTGCAAAGACGTGCTGGGCAAGCCTCCTCGGGGCCGCTGCTCTCATGCCGCTGAGAGCCAAAGAAGTTAAATAAGCATCAGAATGTTATTTCTGAGTTTACCTACCCAGAGAGACAGACCTCTGCAAGATTAATGCCGTCCAATTTAGGACTTGGCCATCCAGTCAGGACGTCCCAATACTTAACAATGAGACCCCAGCCAGATCATACACTCTGCTTCTGCTCCTAATCCCGTAGAAATACTCCTGAATAAATCATGCTGAAACTAATAAAAGCTCATGACAAAGGGCTGGGATTTTGTTTAAAAAAAAAAACACTTGAAAAGAAATCTGTTATTTTGGCATATTTTAATAGAAGTTTAATTTTTCTCTTTGCTAAATAAAAGGCGTGCTCTTGAGGTTTTGCACAGGGATGCCAGAATTTAGATTTGTGATAGAGGGGAACATCTTAAACCCCAGAATATCTGCACAGTGACTAGCCAGTGTTCCAGTATCTCTGACTAAGGAGGTCAGTTTTACCCACTACTTGGTGCTTCATAGCTGGCACAGTAACGCTACCCCAATGTTAATTTGAAATTGGAACAATATGAACACTGTCCCATAGGCTAGTGTGATTTAACCGATTAATAAATTTCATTTTTAAAGTTTCTCCTCCATAGCTTTTTAAGAAGCATGTGTTTTACCGTGCAGTCATTATAAAGATGAAATATTAACGTTTGTGAAATGATTAGAGTTTAAGTTAATAGACTCTGTACAGTACTGGTAATTCTCAGTTAAAGTTAGTGGCGGTAGAAGGCACCCAAAATAGGAACTTCGAAGTAGTGCTAAAAACTCATTTAGTCTTTGGTTATCATGTCCTTGGAGCTTATAAACTACTCACAAACTGGAGTTTTGAATTCTTTGGGAAGAATGGGAAGAGAGCTACCGGGGGCTTACATGTTCACAAACTGGATAATCTGTCCCTTCATGAATCAATTTTAAATGTAGTTAGTACAATGGCCCTTTAAGGTTTATAAGCGTCCTTAGATAGTTTCACATTTTTAAATCTTAGTGATATTAAAAACATTTCCATTTAATTGGAAGTAAATAAACTATGAAAGTTTATATGTCTATCAATTTATAATAATTGTTCTTGGTATGTTAAGTCAGTTGTAACAAGCATGAAATATAAGAGTAGATGGACATGAAAAGTTCCGTGGCTTTATCTCCAAGAGCTTCATAGACTTTTAGAGCTCTTTAGAGCTGAGAGGTCTGCCCATTTTACAGCCTGGGAGGCTGAGGGACCCCTTCCCACCCCAGCGCTCCTTCATTACACTGGGCCTTCTTAGACAACATTTGAAAGAAAAACAACTTTTGCAAATGGTCGGAGCCCTCTCATTACTGTTTGTCCTTTTTACAAACAGGTGAAATCTGCAATTCAATATTTTACTACTTTCAGGTACAAATAGCCACGTTACTTATTGTTTTACACTTCTAATGTCATGACTGTCCTGTTCTGCCCGAGACCAATAAAAGTACAAATCACTTCCCCTAAATCACTGAGGGACTTAGAAGAATCTTGACATTCCCCCTTTTTGAAATCCTAGTGACTACGAAGAATACAGAGTGGAAGAGGGACAAATGAAGTCTCAATCGCAAGAAGTGATTAGTCGATGACATGCAGGTCATAGATCGATGGCAAAGTTAGGATGCTCAGAATATACAGCTTACATTTTTAGGTTGATGCAAAGGCACATACCTATACACTGTAGTTTGCCACACAGTTCACTCAGCAAATATTTTTAAGCACCTACTCTAAAGCAGGCAGTGGTCTACTAGGAACACAGCGGCAAACTGTGTAACTATGCCTTCACTCTCCCAGGGAGAGTTGGGCGGTAAAAAAAATCAGGGTGGTAACAAGTCCTACAGGGACATGCAAATCAGGAGAACAGCACTGAATGCTGATATGGGGGTGAGTTTTTCAGCTGTAAATGGGGTGGGGGGTGTCAGGAAAGCCTAAGAAATAAGGTAACAGCAAGTATCTATAAGAGGCAGAGGAAAAGAACAGCTAATCTAGAAAACTGAGGAAAAGGACAGGAAGTGAGATCAGGGAGCCGAGAGAGTCGGCGCCCAATTTATCCATTTATCTACTTAACAAATATTTACTGAACACCTGCTAGGTACCAGTACTATATACCATGTGCAGGGAAAACAGACCTGACTGACACAGGCCCAGGCCTCCGGGAGCTTGCAGTTTGGAGATAACCCGGATGCCAGCTAGCTAGGGTGCACTCACGAGTACAGCTGCGTGGGGGAGCAGCCATCCTTACCGTCTGCTGAGCCGCTATCCATAGGGTTCCCATGGTGTAGGTCTGTACACACGCTTGCCCACCCACCGACATTCACACATGCGAAAACAAAACCAAACCAAGCCTCACATACACACTTAAGAAGCCAGTGGTATGACATTTGCCAGTAAACAGTAATTAGCTAAGATTATCTTATATTCATTATCCTATATACAGAGCCGCCTAGCATTTGCAGGCTTCTGCCGGCTGATATTTAAGTCTTCCACTGAACGTTTTCGGGCGTTTAGAAGGAAAAAAAAAAATCAAACTTAAAGTGCCTCCAGCACTGTCCTAATTGGCTGGACGCTGTGTATATATACTCTTTCCTTCCTTTCCCTGCTTTCGCTTTGTTCCACCCAGGCACACTTTAGATGGGTTGTTTCTTAAGTGTGCTGTGTTTCCGGGCACCTGGGTGGGTCAGTCCATTAAGCATCTGCCTTCGGCTCAGGTCATGATCCTGGGGTTCTGGGATCATGATCCCGGGGTTCTGGGATAGAGCGCCATGTCAGGCTCCCTGCTCAGCGGAGAGTCTGCTTCTCCCTCTACCCTTCCCCCTGCTTGTGCTCCTGCTCGCTCACACTCTCAAAAATAAATAAATAAAATCTTTAAAAAAATAATTAAAAAAAAAAGTCTGCTGTGTTTGTCCAGATTCATTTATTTGGGATAGGACCTGCCAGTGATTGAGCGAGTACCTGCTAGGTACCCGCCACTGCGCTAGGCATTTTACACCCAATATTTCTAATCCCCACAGCAATCCCACAAGGTAGGAATTATTAGTTTCAATTTATAGATATGGAAACTGAGCATCGGAGAGGTTAAAGAACTTGGCCAAGTTGATAAGCAGCAAGGCTGAGATATCAAATCAGGGCTGCCTGACCCCCCGGTCCAAGCACCTTCTCCTGCACCAACTGGATGCATTAGGGTTTCGAAGTCAAAGCTGACATGCTGTGTGGCAGCGAGATTCAACAGTATGTAGTGTGGGAGAAAGAGACAAAGCAATGATTACATTACAGGGGTAATTTGTGCCATGATAGAGGTGTGTATTCAGTTCGGGGTACGGAGCAAAGGCCCCTATTTAAAGTGCACCACCTATGGCCTGTGGGAATGGGACCCAGGGTCGCCAGGCTTTCCCATTTCGTAAGGGAAGTGGGAAACCTTCACTTTTATGTGACATCTCCTGAATTTTAGAGGCGGCCGACACTACGCCAGCCAAAAACCAGACACAAAAACGTGTCTTTGGCCAACTGTTGGTAAGCCCGGGGCTAGAGGGTCATGGAGAGGTCATGGGCAGGAAGACCAGTTAGGAGGCCATTTGGAGGCATGAAGTCCACTGGACCCAGGTCAGATGCATCCCTTTCAAGACACCCCAGGGGATGTTCCTTTGGACTCTGACACCAGCACCCAGGCTTCGCAAATATGACCATTTGGGTTAATTTTCTAAACAGCCCCACCATTAGAATGGACAGAAAATATTTGGGGGAGTGGGCACAGTCTTTACTAGGGGAGAACCGTTGTGCAGGACCTAGTTTTTTGGGCATTTTGGACACCTGTACATGAAGGCACTCAGCCCTCAGCCAGCTCCTTCCCTCCCCATCAGCAAAGTGGCCGCATACAGACTACAAGACATGTGAATCAAGTCATAGAATCAAAGTGGTCCTTAGCAATGTGGAAGGCCTGGGGACTTGTTCCCATTTCCCTCCCCACTTCTATCCCATTGGGCCAGGGGGAAACTGAGTGCCAAGGAGTGTTCTAAAGTGGACAGGGGCACAAAGGGGCATCTGTAACCCAAGCAGAGGTGATGTATGGAAGGAAGGATGGCAGCCCTGACTGGTGGGCCTCAGTTGTCAAGAGTGAGCCCTGTTAATTCAGTAAAGTGGCAGCATATAAAATCAATCCACAGGAATCAGCGGCATTTCTATGCACCAACAACAAGACAGAAGAAAGAGAAATTAAGGAGTCGATCCCATTTACAATTGCAACCAACCATAAGACACCTGGGAATAAATCTAACCAAAGAGGC